GACCGCGGTGCAGGGCTGCGGGGCCGCCCGGCGCAGGTCCCGCCCCCCTCCGTCCTGGCCAATCAGCTCCAGAGAGAAGGGCCCCACGAAGGACAGAAGCGTGGGTGGAAGCGAGGCCACGAGGAGCCCGCGCTCCGGGGCTCCCCTGGGCTCCAGGGGCGCCCGGCCCAGCTCAGCACCCCCCGGGACCCCTCGAAGGACGACGTGGGAGAAGCGAGGCAGCGGGTCTTCGGGGCGGCCCCCGCGGCGCAGCCCTGTCACCTCCACCAGCAGCTGGGTCTGGAGGCCTGGCCGGGAGGCGGGGACAGGGGTCTGCGTGAGACTCCGAGTCACGGAGAAGGGGAGGAATGGCTTTCAGAACGGGGTCACCCTGGGGAGCAGGGGTGGGGAAAAGGGGTGACTCCGGGGAGTGCTGGTGGGGAGGGTGAGGAGGGCGCCCCGGAGGCTGGAAACCCAAGTCTTGCCCTGGGGGTGGTTACACGGGCGCTCAGGTTCAGTGCACATGTGCATAGAGTGTCAACTGTAACGATACATGTGGAATTACATACATGTAGAATTTTATACACGTAAAACCCATGAACGAGTTGGGGTGAGGGGGACTAGATGTACCTACAACTGGCTGAGTCAAGGGGTGGAGGCCAGGGTGGGGGCCGTCCTCCATGGGGACCCCAAAGTGGAAGAGGAAGTCCAGGGAGGTCCGAGCTGAGGGGGGCAAAGGCCGTCAGAGGCCGGCCCAGTGGGGCGACCNGCAGTCACGGTCACCGTCACCACGGAGTCCGGGGCGGCTGACTCTGGGACCTCCAGCCGCAGGCGCCCCCAGGCGGACTCGTTGCGGTCCAGGCGCACCCTGTCCAGCGAACACCAACACCCATGTGAACCCCAGGCTCTGACCAGCGAGGGCCCAGGGGTGGGGCCTAAAGCTCAGGGTGGGGCCGGCAGGACCGAGGGCTCGCGGGCACCTGGAGAGGTTGGCGGCCAGCACGAAGCCGGCGCTGACGGACGCCCGAAGATCGAGATCCTGGGGGCCCGAGAAGCTGGAGATGCGGAGGCGGAGCAGGGCCGTGCTGCCCGG